ACTGCCATGTGATAAACGAGTCCAATTACTCAGAATGGGATAAATGTGAGTCATGTGACTTGAATGGTTTAGTTTAGCTGAGTCCTGTGCTGAAACACTGCGATGTGCATAAACCATCAAATTCGAAGACAGGAGCATCAGTAACACTAGTAACAAAAGACATAGAGGGCATATAAACCTTGTTGATCACAAAATGCCTTTGCTCACTGCGCCTAGCACTAGGCCTAACACAATGTAGGCCTAGTACTAACGTTAAACCTAGGCGTACGACGGCAAAGCCACTTTCGTAATTTAGGCTTGGCTACACTCGGCAAACAGTGCTTGATAACAAGGAATTAAAAAAACTACCGTGAATCGGGTAGATTGCATTCAGGTAACAACAACACGATAGCAGCGTTTTGAACATGAAAATACCTTAAAACAGAAAGAAAAAGAAAGAGCTCTGGCTCCACTACTACGCGACAAAAACAATGGCGGATTGGTGCAAACAACGGGTTTCCTGTGTTTGCCCGCACGGGCTCGGGGATGATTCGTTGCCAGCTTGGTACTGAGTCATATGCCAAACCAGACTCATTTTCAAGGGACAAGTGAGTCAACAATAAACATTCTGAGTGAGTCAATGCCCTTTTGACTCGCTACGTAAATTTCAGTGAGTCTGATGCGATGCATATGGTGTTAAATACGAGTCAAATTTACTATGACTCGCTAAAATCGTCCAAAAGTGAGTCAAGTGACACAGAAATTTGTTTGTGTGTAGGTTCAGATGAGACAAACATACCCATTTACAAATTGAAAGCCTAGTTGTCAACTATTAAAATGACGACTCACGGTAAAAATGTAAATTGGTTCTCAATCATGGTTCTCTTCTGAGGATATTTTTCAAATCTGAGAGGGAATTATTACCTGGAGCACCATTCTCAAAGTCATGGTGTGGCATCCGGTTAATAAAGTCCTGGAAACATTTTATTTAAAAAAGGCATGGACTGATCGATTTTGGATGCGTAATCTGCTACAAAAGATTACATGATTGCACAATATTATTGTGTACAAATATATGATAGAAAAACCGTGATAATTAAATTGACCTGTAAATGCTGGCCTACTGAACTTGCACAAGGGTGTGATGTGAATTGCGGTGTCAGACCAAAGTGTTATAGGTCTGCTTCAAATTTCTATGCCTACTGGTTACCCTTCCTGCAAATGTACCCTATTTTGATAGCCTTTTTCTGATTTTTTTTTTTTTACTAAAATTAGTAAAATATATCCCTCAGTAACCATCAGTTTGTAGCTTTTACCCTTTACTACACACAGACTTCTACTATGATCAACAAAAAAAACTCCCTCCCTACCTTATCCTGTTTTCAAATGCCATGTAATCGGAAGCAGAATTATATTTTGGTTCGGCCTCACTGAAACATATGAAGCCTACATGCAGCCTCAGATGGCCATGTTATGAAATGACACTTTTAATTAAGATTTTTTTCAAATCTTAGATTTAGCAAGACTTCAAACTTGTTTTTCACCAAGACAAGGCTGAAAACCTGTTTCTCAAGTAGAAGGGGCTTCGTGGAGGCTTTGTGCATTGTGCATTGATTATACAGTGTGTTCCACACACAAGGAAACTGATCTTATCAGGAAATTACTTGTTAATCAGAAATATTTCTTCAAAAGTGTACATTTTATTAGAAATGTCATTCTATATTCTCTTTCATGTGACACCAACAGTATGATGGAATGGTCAAGATTGACGAGCAAAGGCAATCCAAGTTCATAGTGTCAGTGTAATGTTTGCACAGAACGTGGTTGGTAGTAATAATGGAAGGGAATCTGTTATGTAACAAGACCTCATTCCTTGAGTCATGATGTGTACATATTTGAATTATCCCGAACAAAACCAAATGTTAAATATATTTTTAACTTTAAATTGTTTCTGATCAGTCATGCATGATGCCGCCATCATAATTTCATATATAGAAGAAAAGATAATCTTCCACCTGAACATATTTGGGGAATAAAATATTCAGTTGTTGAGTAATTTAGTGAAAAGATGGATTTTCTTTTTGTGGGACACACGTCTGTGCAAGGTGTCTGTTATGGAATGCCAAAAGGGGGAAGGAAATGACCGGTGGAGAGACTGGGCGTAGCAGAAAACGGTGAATTTATTATCAAGTTCTTGGCTTGGAAAGTACACACAGTACATGCATGAGTGATGTAGATGAAAAGCCTTGGTAGGCACCGTGGTAGCCACTGAGGAGTGTCCATCATAATCCCGTAAGCCCATTAACCCTGGCAGTGGTTAGCCCGTTCTGAAGGGTAACAAGGAAACAATGAAAGAATTAGACAAGGGCAAGATACACGATGTCGAAAACCTAAATACATGCACATGTACATTCACTAATCGTCACCGACACCACGAAGTAACACCCATCTACATACCAGTAAAAACTAGCAATCGGAGAAAACGGCAACTAAAGTTGAACTCCTTTTAATACAACACTTTGCGTCAAAACGACAGAGTATTTTCAGTTGGGTTTCATTATTTTAGGTAACTCAGAATGTATAAGCCACGCACCAAACCAGATTTTCTTGCAAAGTTGGTCTCAATCTCAACGTTTGTGCAGACTGGATTGTTCGCATTTGTTGTAAGGATTTCATGTAGACGCTTGGTGCATGACCCAGCTTTGGCCTTTTTCTTCTTCTAAATTTGTCATACAAAGTTAAAACAAATTTAACATAAAGTACTTTTCATTCAATCAAAATTGCAACAAATTAATTTGTTTGTGTACCTACAACTACCATGCATCCTCTGAGAAAGTGCTAGCACAATAATTCTGCGCTAACATCTGAAGGCCAATCAACACTGATTTTTAGGTTTTCATCACTCAAGATTGAAACAATCAGTCGGGTGGGGAATTTATATTTTATATTTTATAAATTCAACTTCTTCACGATTAAAGTGAATTGAGGGGGCAATGTCAGATAAAGTTAAAAGGAGACACAAAAAACATGAAAACTGCTTAATATTAAGTAGGCCTACCTCCATGCATTCAGCTGTCTAATGACCTAGGGTTTCTGTCTAGAATTTAAGAAGGGTAGGGCCTAATGAACCTCACAAGTGTGACCGTGCCTGTGGATTTGGTGAGAAACTTGTCAAGGGAAAAAAAACACTTTTTGAGGGGAAAAACACATTTTCAGAAAAAAAAAACATAAAAAAAATAAGGGTGGGAGTGAAAAGCGAGGGATTTGATGAAAACCTAAAAATCAATGTTGATAATAATGTAACGAAAGACCTACTGAGGATTCTCTACTTCAAGGCCAAACCCATGCCCATGAAATGTGCCAACCACTTGCGCACAAATTAAAGTTTCTACTATACCTGGCAGCCCAGTGGATATTTAAAACCATGTTTTATTAGTCAAGCTAGGCCTAAGTAAAAAATATAAATTACCTTGGCTTCTGCCCAAAGGCGTTTCTGCCTCTCAACAACCTCGTCATCACTTGGTACATCAGCAGGCTCTGTGTTTGTGATCGTGACATTTGGAATCCTAATTCGCTTACCACTGGCACTGTCCAAGACATTCTGAAGTTCTTTCTCCGATTCTGCAAAATGATAAAAAACATTTAATTTTAAGGCAAAAATGCTGCAACCTGACGCCACTTCAGCGGTTGTGTACAAAGTCTACGGAAAGTCAAGAAAATGTTCTAATCTAAGTATTTCCTAACAAAATTGGAAACGTTTCTCAGTCCCAGATTCAGGTCTTAGGCCTATCGTCATGAGATGATATAAGAAAAAAGTGGCGTCAGGTTGTAACATTTTTTTTCCAAATTTAGGCCTAAATTAAACAAAATGAAACAACTGGGAAAAAACAGTCATAGAACTAGGTTTACCTTAGCCTGAGAAACTAGGCCTACCTGACAACAGGATGATAACTGCAGGATATTTGTTGGTTTTACTGCACAACCTGCTGCTGTCACTAGCGTCCGCAGAACTCCATTCGATCATGTACGCTTGATCCTTGACAAAATCATTCTCATTGTGTGGATGGAACTTGGTGATATGAGAAATATGAACTCAAAAATGAATGTCAAAAAGGCAATCTTTTATAGAGTAAACAAGAGCATATTTAATGGGAGGCATTGTGGTGACACGGCCGATCAGCAGAATTAATTAATTGCACGTAAACACGTACATGTACGTACACATAACCCCATCAGCAAAAATTTACATCTCGCGCTCGCATGAATGACCAGCGTCATGAGCGTGTGCGTGCAAAAATTGCGCAATATATTTATAAATAATACTCGTTCCCATAAATACAATTTTTTTTTTGTTGTTGCAAAAATCCTGTAAAATAAAGCTGAATTCTTCACCAAATAAAAATAATTTGTGGAAAAATATATATTTAGTTAATTTATATGGTATTACTCTCGGTTACTAAATAAATAAACAGAGGATGAAAAAAAAAACACTGAGGTTGTAACAATGAATAGACGTGCTCCCTTCTTTTGAACTGCGCACTCTTGTTGTATGACGTCTGGTTACATGACTTGGACGAACGATCGTCTGCATAATTCTTACCAAATTCCTCAGATTTCTTGATGTAACTAGGCTAGGCTAGGCGCGAAAGCGCGTACGCTGTCGATGTCCAGGTTATAAATAAAACTCGTTCCCATAAATACAATTTAATTTTTTTTTTTGCAAAAATTCTGTAAAAATAAAGCTGAATTCTTCACCAAATAAAAATTTGTGGAAAAATATATATTTAGTTAATTTATATGGTATTTCACCCTCGGTTACTAAATAGATAAACAGAGGATGAAAAAAAAAACACTTTGAGGTTGTAACAATGAATAGTCGTGCTCCCTTCTTTTGTACTGCGCACTCTTGTTGTATGACGTCTGGTTACATGACGTGGACGACCGATCGTCTGCAGATCAAATCTTCAGATTTCTTGATGTAACGAAGCCAGGCGCGAAAGCGCGTACGCTGCATGCTGTCGATGTGCCGGCTGGGTATGTACCGGCCGCCCTGGCCAGCTTGGCGAAACTGTGAAGGCACAGCTTTAGAACGACGGAAGACCCTGCCTTTCTTCTGCTTCTGCTGGATACATAATGTTGGATATGTCAGTCATGTCAGTGTGGTGGTGGTGATTGAGCTTTTTCACCAGCTCATTGATATATGGTCAGAGCATAGGCCTACGGCTACGTACGTCTGGTGCCACTGCTAGTAAATGGTATTGTTGAATGACATTTTTTTTCAGCCATAACTTTTTGCTCAAAGAACACGTGCCTTTTGGGGGAATCTATGCACAAAATTTCAAAATGATGTTTGATTTTTAAAATCCGTATCTTGAAAACTACATAAGTCATATGAATCATTTTTGTTGAAAGCTTATTAATTATGCTTTCATAGGCTTCATTTTGAAAGTGTTACATGCAAAACTTCATTAATTCATTTTGATTTCCTATTCTTTACTTGCCCTGTAGTGTTTTTTTTTCATCTGCAAATCAATCTCCTTATGAGCTCAGTCAAACCAATGGAATAAAACTGTCCGTGGACAAACAGGTTTGCCACATGAAATTTTTAAACTACCATAATCGGAGACAAAATATGCATTTGCAATCATATTTTCATCCATTATGTCAAGATTAAAAATAATTTTCAAAACATGTACCATTAAATTGAATTTTTGAATACACTCAACAAGTAGGGCCAAAAAAAAAATAGTTCTGCTTCCGGTTTCCCTACCTACCCTATTCTGACAGCCCCATCCCTAATTTTTTTTATTGGAAAAATGAGAAAAAAACACCAAAAACCATCAATTTTTATCTTTTACCCTTGCCTTTCCGCAGAGGCCTCCATATGATCATACACAAAAAAAAATTGGCAAAAAAAATTATTTCCCTACCTACCTACCCTATTTTTAAATGCCATGTAATCGAAGCAGAACTATTTTTTTGGCCTACGTGAAAATTGCTGTCAAAAGTGGGTTAATTTCTTCTTTTTGCACCACCCTGTATATTATTCAAACGGAACCCATTACAAACTGCAAATATGAGCACTAAATACCTTCTTCTTTTGCATCTGCTCTGCACGCACACTTCCTCAACCAGGTATCCCCTGTGAGAGCAGGCCCGTCGTACAACTTAAGATCCATCGATGTGGAAGATGCCACAAACAAAAGAAAAATCCAAGTCAATCTATGGGGAGAGGACAACAAGCAGGACATTCCACAGCCTGGCACTTTGGTGACCGTTCAGAACCTCGTCACGGCTACCTATCGTGACATGGTAGTACTCAACGCTACACAGGAAACTGATATTCAAGTAAGATATTTCTCTGTGTCAACTACCTCTACATATCGTTTGAAGAAAATATCAAAGCTTATATTAAAAAGCATAGCAATACCACAACTTATCTGTTTTTGTCATCCTTTATTTACAATGTTTCCAAATATTAATTAAAAAACAATCAGAGATAATTCCTTACAAATGCAGTTTTTCATCCCTGCTTACGTCTTTTCACAATTTCCCACTCCTTTGTCAAAAAAAATTCCTAACCAACATTCCCGCATCATTTTTCGAGGCCTATTTGTTATTACATTTACAAATGTACTTCCATACTTATGCATATCTTTACCCAATCTCAGTTTCCACACTACATTTAAACATATTTACTAATCTCTGTCTTTCTTATTCTATATAGGAAACTGAAATGGCATGTAGCTCATCAAAAGTCACTATTGTGGCAATCACCGAAGAAAGGTAATATACCCGGAGTCCACCAAAAAGTTCACTCCAAAACAAATGATATGATATATAATCTATGTAAAGTACATGAAATGTCATTTTCAAAACAATGGGACCCACTGCTGCATGACCTGAAATGCATCCAAGATATGAATTGAAAATCACTGCCCTGGCTTATTATGAAACCATAATAATGATTAATAAGTGCATAGTTTGTTCACATTATCCCATTGTGGTTTATCCTCTTTTTTTTTAACAACCTGTACGGCACTCCTCTCACCATTACTACAGTCGACTCTCATTATAAAGAGCACTTTTATAAAGAGGTTCTGCTTATAAAGAGCAAATTCTGAGGTCCCGAATATCTGGTTGTCTTTGTGTTTCTTTGTTTCACTGTCCTTTTATAACAACATTCATGTTACAAATCTTTTCCCCACATCTCCTTCAATAAACACCGAACTACACATTACATGTATATCATATGCCTTCTTTCTCTAGTGGCAACATCATCTTCATGGATGAGAAAAACACCGAATACCAGACAACGGTGGAGCTCTTCTCGGAATGCACACATTATGTTGACATCAGAGACGCACTCCACCTATTGCCCCTCGATGTACAGGTCACTGTCACAAATGTTCGAGGAAAAAACAACGTAACATCCATTGCAACATATGACAGGTGAATTTCCAACAAATTCAAACCATTGCCATTGCAAAACCTATAACTACTCACTAGAAATAGAACTCCAATTTTTAGTCCATCTAATTCATGAACTTTTTTTCTTTCTCGTGTCTAATACAGTTCTGACGTCGACTCCCAACTGCCTAACAACCCAAGCGAGTAAAGGAACAAACTGTTAATGGAACCCACCTGGTTCTAAGCCTATTCGGTAGATAGTTACTTCAGTCGACTTACAAAGTTGTTTGATGGAACCCACCTGGTTCTAAGCCTATTCAGTAGATAGTTACTTCAGTCGACACACAAAGTTGTTTGATAAAACCCACCTCGTTCTAAGCCTATTCAGTAGATAGTTACTTCAGTCGACTTACAAAGTTGTTTGATGGAACCCACCTGGTTCTAAGCCTATTCAGTAGATAGTTACTTCAGTCAACTTACAAAGTTGTTTGATGAAACCCACCTGGTTCTAAGCCTATTCAGTAGATAGTTACTTCAGTCGACTTACAAAGTTGTTTGATGGAACCCACCTGGTTCTAAGCCTATTCAGTAGATAGTTACTTCAGTCGACATACAAAGTTGTTTGATGGAACCCACCTGGTTCTAAGCCAATTCAGAAGATAGTTACTTCAGTCAACTTACAAAGTTGTTTGATGAAACCCACCTAGTTCTAGGCCTATTCAGTAGATAGTTACTAATCAGTCAACTTACAAAGTTGTTTGATGGAACCCGCCTGGTTCTAAGCCTATTCAGTAGATAGTTACTTCAGTCGACTTACAAAGTTGTTTGATGGAACCCACCTGGTTCTAAGCCTATTCAGTAGATAGTTACTTCAGTCAACTTACAAAGTTGTTTGATGAAACCCACCTGGTTATAAGCCTATTCAGTAGATAGTTACTAATCAGTCAACTTACAAAGTTGTTTGATGGAACCCACCTGGTTCTAAGCCTATTCAGTAGATAGTTACTAATCAGTCAACTTACAAAGTTGTTTGATGGAACCCACCTGGTTCTAAGCCTATTCAGTAGATACAATGTAGTTACTTCAGTCGACTTACAAAGTTGTTTGATGGAATCCACCTGGTTCTAAGCCTATTAAGTAGATAGTTACTAATCAGTCGACTTACAAAGTTGTTTGATGGAACCCGCCTGGTTTTAAGCCTATTCAGTAGATAGTTACTAATCAGTCGAATTACAAAGTTGTTTGATGGAACCCACCTGGTTCTAAGCCTATTCAGTAGATAGTTACTAATCAGTCGACTTACAAAGTTGTTTGATGGAACCCACCTGGTTCTAAGCCTATTCAGTAGATAGTTACTTCAGTCGACTTACAAACTTGTTTGATGGAACCGACCTGTTTTGCCTATTCAGTAGATAATGACTTCTTCAACTTACTTAGCTGTTTGAAAGTTATCACTTGAAGTGAAATGGGGTAACTTTGGTAAATGTTTTGAGACATACATGTTTTTTACTATTGCTTTTATAACAAATTTGGTGAATTTTCCCATTTTTTAGAACATTTAGATTAACTCTGCACTTTTGTGTTGTTTTGTGTCAAAAAATAGTATTTAACAAGAGGATGGGGCCCACAAATTATGTAATCAAAGTAACCTCCGTTTTAGGGCATTATAATAATAATTCCTTTGGACAAATATTGTCATTTTAAAAAATTGTTTCCTGAGTCCAGGTGAAAAGTAGGTACAATTTTAGATTCCTAAAAAAACAAAACATTTTCTTTCTCAAGGGCCTCCTCAGTGCCATTTCACCTTCTTGTTCCTTGACCTCTGACCTTTGACATCTTAAAATTTGACCTAATGTAATTATCCACTTCAAATCCACAAGTGCATTAAATTTGCAGTGCCGTTTTCTGAAAATAATCATGTAAAAATTACAGAAGAAATCTTGTTTTTCAGAGATTTATATTCACTTATAAAATACAGGTGCTGACCAAAAATAACCCATTCCACGGTACATAAGTTGTTAAAGTTGGTTATTAATCTACAGCACATTTTAATAGTTCTTATTTACTAACCTTAATCTATGTAAAACTTCCATCAATCATATTAATCATAACACTAATTATTAACTAATTATTGTGCAATCTCTAGCTTGAGTATAATCCAGCTGACACACTCGTCACCAATTCACATGTAACGCTGGACAAAAAAAACTACATGTACATTGTAAATATGACATTGTAAGACACCCTAAAAAGGGTCTCCATAAAATGGTCCTTTCCCCCTCTATCCCAACACAGATTCCATTAAACATACCTCATACCATGCACTCATTAATTCATAAAACTAATGATTGTCTTGAAACAGAACAAAAGTTACTTAAATATGAACAATATTAATTATTTCGCAGACTCCTTCAGAAAAAAAAACATCCAGCGCCACACTGTCATGGCTGTGTTGTGGTTATTGTGTGGTTGTGCCGATATGCCAATCAGATTATTCCTCGATTATTTATGCTAAGTAGGACATCCAACAGCCGTCAGGTCAACTACAATCTACTGGACTGTATATAAATGCAGAATGTACTACTGACCCGACAGCTGTTGGATGTCGTACTCAACATAGATAATCGAGGAATAATGTGTTTGGCTGATCGGCACAAACTTAATGTAATAAGCACAACACAGCCATGACAGTGTGGCACTTCAAGGTTTTCTGAAGAAGCCACCAAAATAATCAATATTGTTCATATTTTAGTAAGTTTTGTTTTGTTTCAAGTCGATCATTAGCATCATGAATAACTGAGTGCATGGTATAATGTATGTTTAATGGAATCTGGGTTGGGATAGAGGGGAAATGGACCATTTTGTGGAGGCCGTTTTTTAAAGGGTCTCTTACAATCTCACATTTTACAACATAGTTTTGTCTCCAGCGTTACATGTAAATTCCTAATGACCCTGTCAGCTAGAGTTACTCAAAGTACGTAATCTCCAGATTGATATAAAAAAATGGATTTTAATATTTTTTTGCAAATTATAAATGGTTGACTTTACGACGTAATTAAAGATTGATTCTTGTTTCATAAAAAAAAATGCATTACAAAGTGTTCACTTACTTGCGTCCACTCTCTGTTTATATCCATATTGTGCAGTTCCAATAAAACCTCCTTCCCTTGCTTCTTACAAATACTGGTGCAGCATAGCCACAATATGCTAAAGTATTGTGCAAATTGTGATAAAAGCATGAAACTTCGCATGTTGGTTCTTAATGCCATGACAAAAAATTCAGATATGGAGGCATTTCATATTTTACCTCTGGTGACCTTTAGAGGTCAATGAACTTTGCATACACTATTCATAACTTTTGTTCTTCAAAAGTTCACTTTCAAATGACCCAAGTCTATGTCATAGGTCTTCATACAATGAAAACAACCATCAGAAGTGGAAAATTCATATCTGACCCCTCATGACCTTCGAGAGGTCAATTACCTTTTTAAACCTGTTTATAGCTATTTGTAAGATATATTCTTTAAACCGCACCTTTTTTCACAATTCAAGTCTAAATGAAAGGTTTTCATGCTGTAAAGAGAATTTTCATATATAGGTCATTTCATATTCAACCTCTGGTCACCTTACGAGAGGTCATGACCTTTGTAAAACAATTGCCTACATATGGATATTTATAAGATTTTCATCATTGTAAATGCCACCTTTTTTATGACCCAAGTCTTCAGCTTGCCTCTAGGTACCATGAAAAGAATTTTCAGATGTAGGCACATCACATTTGACGTATAGATACCTTTGGAGAGATCAATGAACTTTGTTTATCCTAATTGCCGTTACATGTATTATCATATTTATTCACCAAAACCCCGTTTTTTGGTGACTCAATCGCAAATAGTGCAAAGAACGGTATTGCACCTATTAATTTACAGTCATTCTATAAATTCAGATCCCACAAACAATTTTGAGGTGACCTCTGACCTCGTTTGTCCTTGTTTATTGGCAGACGCAATATAATGGAGATTGGAGTAGAAATCTGTGGGTCTGTTTTGTAATGGAAAATGTACATATGTCAATCAATATTTTTTCTTGTGTACTTATTACACCCTGCTGTATCCACTTTTACTTGAATTGCCACGTTTTTACCTACACCAATGGTTACTGTAAGAGGAATGATGCTTTTCCGATGTGTCGCTTATATTCTTTCATGTTTGCGTCTGCCCATATAAATAGGAAAATTGACATTGGAGGTCACGCAAAAGAAACTACTTTGGGGTCAGACTTAATGCCACGTTGTAGAATAATTATGAAGACGCACTCCTTTTGCTCTAATTAGACTTCATGAAAATGGCATTTGGAAGATTAAACTTGTTTAGTAAAATTTGTTTAGAACAAATCATTGAATCATTTTGTACTGTGTAATGGACAATGAAAAACATGTTGGGAACAGCTCTGTGGTTGTTCACTCACAACCACATAGTTCTAGTTTTTAATATTGTTATTTATTTTACAAGTAAAATTTAAAACAGTGTAATATATATAGACAGTTGGGAATTGTACCCACTTTTGTGAAAGCTGTAAATGTATAGTTCGTGGAAATAAATAAGTATTTATTGGTGGAAATGTATTGAACTTGCATTTTGTTTATATTTTCTCATTTTACTTAAGTGCAAACCTCTACACTTTTTTTCCACATATTTCACATAGGAACTTTACATCAAAATGAGCTATTTCCTTATTTATTTGAAATGTATATATACCAGTATAGCAATAATTTTAAAGATTTTTAGATATTGTGGAAGTAAAGATTTATCCGATTAGACTTTATGACTAAAATGACTCCCAAAAGAGTCAGATTTAAACCAACTGGACTTAACTCAACTCCCAACTGATTCCAATTCAAAACAACAAATTGGATCCAACTCAACTCTCAATATAATCGAATAAAACCAATTTGATCCAACCTAATTCCAAATAAATTCAAATTCATTTAAATGTTTCAAATTCAATTAACTCCCAATTAATTCCAATTCAACAAATTGGATCTGATTCAACTCCAAATTGAATCTAATAAAACCAACTGGTTCCAACTCAACTCCCAACTTAATCCAATTCAACCAACTGGATATGACTCAATTTCCAATTTGAATGCAATAAAACCAATGGGATCCAACTCAACGCCCAACTGGATCCAATTCAACCAATTATATCCAACTCACCTCCCAACTGAATCCAATTCAACAAATTGGATCCAACTCAACTCCCAATTCAACCAATTGGATCCAACTCAACTTCCAATTGGATCCAATTCAACCAATTAGATCCAACTCACCTCCCAA